GATTGCACTGTGTCGATGTCAACTCAGAGCACCTAAGCCTAGCAGATTCAACTTCTACAATATTATGCAGGATGTACATTTAGAAAATGTCTTCAGCTTAGATTATTTTTGAAGTCCAACATATGATATTAATATTTTACCTTTAAAAAAACCTAATATATCTTAGATTGATGCAAGAACCCAATTGGATTGATGCAAGAGCGTGGTAGAGTAAGGATATTCCAGAGAGACTCAAGACTCAAGACGCCCGACTGTCTTTTCCCCTCTCTTCATTATCCTGTAACTCAGAGGTTGAAAAATTTGACATTACCACTTATTTTTAAATGTACTGAATATATTCATAAATGAAGAAACTTTAAAAACAGGGTCACACTCTTGTGGCATAATTAAAATGTTTAGCATTTTAAAATCAATACTTTTAAAATAAATAAAAGTAATATTTTCAATTCATAAAGATAAAACATGATTCTATGTAGAACTTCATTGTATATATGACAAGGAAATTTAAAGGAGGCCTTGATGAAAGCCTACATAGGTCTTGCTTCTACCTCCAAATTTCCACCTGGTTATAAAGCTCATCCATCTCTATCCACTGCTGCCAATCTTAGCATAGAACAGACCGAGGGAACCTCCGAGAGCTCCAGCAGTGGGACGTGGCTGGAAGGATCATCACGCCGGGTATCTGGCCACTCAGCAGGCATGTGCACTCGCACCTTCGCCGCCTCGAGGTTTCCGAGTCCATGGCTAGCTAACCTGAGAGCAGTCCCCAGCTGAGAGGGTCTCCCCGTCCCTTGTGGGCCAGACCTCCCTTCCGGACTTGCCACCCAGGAATTCCCCCGAGGGGCCGTGATTCCACCCTCCTCCATGGAGGATCTCCCAGCTTACGGTTCCATACCACAGGGGAACAAACGAAAACTGACCACACTGCGCTCGGAAGAATTCCTGGCTCCAAAGTCACTTAGACGTTTGCGTCCAGAGGCAGGGAGATCTTGCCCGCCCGCCCGCACGTCGTGCAGCCCATGGTTCCACCGAGCCGCATGGGGAGGGTGGCCCGCAAAGCCCTGGACACCCAGGATCCCACCGCCTCCACGACTGCAGCGCGGACCTCAGCGGAAGGACTTAGCCGTCCGAGGCCGGGCTGCGCCAGGAAGCGCAGGCCTCGCGCCGCTGGGCCGAGACCGCTGGAACGTGGGCGCCAGAGCGCGGGAAAGTGGCCGGCGGTGCGTGGCCGGCTGGGGGCGCAGCTCCTGAGGGCCCGGGGAACCCAGCCTCCCCGGCCTGAAGCCCCGCTTCGCGCCTCAAAACTCGGTAAGGCTGGCGCTCCGGCAGGGCCCAGGAAACCTCGAAGGCCGGGCGGGATCTGAAAGGATTCGTTCAGCCTCGGCCTCGGCTGCACCCCGGGTTCCCACGGGCCAAGGACAAGCCGGGGGAGGCCCCAAGGCCGAGGCTTGGACTGGAAGTTTATTCTGGAGGGTTTGGAAACCAAGGTCGGCGCCCGAGCGCTCGGGTTGGCTAGTCGGATGCAGTCGTGGCCGGCGGGGGCGGCAAGTGCGCGTCAAGAGGGGGTAGGAGGCTGTCGCTTTGGTTTTATCGAAGTGGATAACTGGGTCGTGTTGGGGCAGCTGACGTGTTCATAACCCGCGGAGCACGTAGGGGCACCCACACAGCTACGCCGGCCGCAGCCCCGGGGGAAGCGCTCGGCCCTCGCCCCAGGCGCCGCTGCGCCCCTTGGCGCCCGCTACCCGCAGTCTCGCGGCAGGGAGACAGGCAGAACCGCCGGCTCTGGGAGGCCGCCCCGCAATCCGCGGCCCGGGGGGTCCCCGGGGGCTAGAGGAGCGTGCCCGGGGCTGGGGGTCGCGGCCCGAGACCACAGAGTGGGATTTATTTCCACGTGGCGAGGGGAGAAGGTGACCAGTTAGTGAGTGATTGATTGCTGAGGACAGGGAAGCCACAGCTGTTCGCGGCAGCCGGTGGCCGAGGCACGACACGATGCCACCTCTGGGAAGCTGGTGATCGCTGTGGTCGTTGGTTCGCTGAGCTTCCAGACCCTGATCGTGCGTACCGGGTCTCCTGGCAAGCAGCGCGCCTGTCGCTGTGAAGCCTGGTCCCGCGCGCCCCTCTGGCTGATCCCCTAGGCCATTAGTCTGCTTAAATCCTTTTTTAAAAAAAAATCCCCTCTCCACCTTTCACACTGCCTCCCTCCGCTCCTCCCCCCCCCCTCCTTCCTCAACCAGAGTCGTTCGTGCCGAATGTCACTCAGCGGCGTGCCTGTCAGGGGGGTGAGGTGGCCCCAAAGAAGTTTCCAATTCTCAGCCACCCCTAAACACCCGTAACTTGGCTCCCACGGCTTGCCCAGCCCTGCCAGAAAGCCGTTTGCATAACCTCGAGTCCCGGGGGCGGTGGGTGCTGCCCGCTCCGCTGCTCGTGTCGCAGCCCCTGCACACGCGAAGTTGTTTGCTACGTCGTTTTGCGCTGGTAGACAGCTGCCCCTTGATTCCTTCAAACTCCAAGGCCGTTTGTCACTTTGGCAAACGTCACCTTGCATGGCACACAGTACTTTTTCTAAGGTTAATGCTAAAGGCTCCCCATGTCAGGCGGAATGGCCACTGCAACTAGAGCTTTGAGACCAACTTTTGGGGACTTGCTTGTCTCCCTGACCCCTCCCAGGACCGCTAGGCCATCTGAGTGATTGTAAGCGTCCTTAGGGCTGGGGTTGAATGGATTCAAGTCTGTAAACCGCCCGCACCTTTGAGGGGCGGGGAGGCTGCTCCGTGGATGTTTTCCTGATTTCCTGCCTTAGATTCAACCCCAAAGCCCTCCGTGGAGAGAAGACAGCAGTTCAGATTCTAATTTCAGTTTGTTGTAAAAAGGAAAACAGCTGTTATCGGGTTGGAGAATCCAGGTTTCGATACACAGCAAAGACGTACCACAAGGAAAGCAGGAAGGGATCATTTCCATGGATTTTTTTAAAAACATGGGACAGAACCTTGCGCATCCACCTTCCCTGTTCCGCTTCCTAGTTGGCAGGATGCTTCTACATTGACTTACAATTGTGCGTACTGCTACCATGCCTGCAGTAGCACAGCTACTGCCCTGCTCAGCCTGGTCAGGTAAAGGGTACCCCGACCGGACACGCCTCATCTCCCTGCCACCTCCAAGTCAGTCCCCCCTACGCAGGCACGTTGTTCTTGACGCAGGGCTGTGCACAACCTGTTAAATAGTGCCAAGGCTTCCGTCCTTTTCAAACTGGTACTAGGCTGTTTATCCTGAGATACAAAATGAAATCTTGAGAAACAACCATATGAAAAGTTGTGTGATGCCCTGTTTTGTTTTTGTTTTTCAAGTTTCCTGGTAAGGGTTCTGATGGATGTTTAAGCAGCAGTCCCTCCCCCACCCCCACCCCCATCACTTATTACGCGACTCCAGATCATTTGCAAACCAATAATATTGTTTTCAAGAGGGAAAACAGAAGTTGGGATCAGTTTTTTCAGCGAATTCATTTCAGTGTTTATCTGTTAATTTGAATGGTTTGTAGGGAGAAAGTGAAGGAATAAACTGGGCCTGGGGCAGAGGTTGAAAACCCAGGGAAGACTCATTCTTAAGATTAATACCATTTTTGCAGACTGTGGTCTCGCCACAAGTGAGGACACTCGGAGCACAGGTGGATTACTGTCACTCTGGGCCACTGGAGGCCCAGAGAGCCCAGGCACCAACTTGTATAGAAAGGTAGACAAACCTAAGACACCCCCAGGGCACCGTCGTGGCCTCGACCTGCAGAACTCTCAAAGGTGATAGAGACCTCTGCTGAGTTAGGGGCTAGAACTTCCCCAGGGAGGGGAAGAGGGTGTTCTCCACGGACAGAGGGGAATGGGCACTGTAGCTGGAGGGCTACAGCCACCCATCTCGCTGTAGGGTTGCAATCCATGAATGAGTCAAGATAGCTCAGGATGAATGAAGCAGAGCCCAGGGTGGACGTCCTGGGTGCGAGAGGCAAAGCTTCAGCTTGTCCTGCTCCTCCCCATGGGCTCCCATCTAGGTTTTCCAGGACTGGAGACCATAGCAGGAAAGCAAGTCCAGCATGGCACACCGGTAGGAGCCTGAAGAGACGGGGAGACAGCCTCGGAGTGAAAGACGCTCTCCTTGATCTGTGTGTCTGGCTCACAGAGTGGTGCACGGCCAACCAGGGTGCAGGGAGGGGTGGGGGTAGGAAAGCCTCATTTTCCTCAGTCGCTGCGTCTGGGGTGGCTCGTCTCCTTCCCCCAGCCCTCCGCTTCACCCCATCAGGACCAGATAGAACTGAAACTCCTTTGCCTTTGCCTGTACTGAGCCCGAAACTCAGGATCTGATAAGGTTACTACACCATTGATAGAATCACAGATTTTTTTTTTTAAAGCCTCCTCAAAGAGACAGATGTTTTGGCTGATTAAGAATTGAGGAGGGAACCTGCAGCTGCACCAAGGAATCATCTATTGGACAAATATTTTAATAAAAAAAATATGAAGAGATCAGCCCGACCTTGCAAGGTCTTCTGCTTTAAAAAAAAAATCTTTATCAAACCCCTATTCTATGGCTTCAATAAACAGAACCCATTACCTCACGGCATCTTTTGTTGGCCCCATACAAGAGCGAACAAAATGGTTATTCAGGGGAGCGCTTTCGATTTTTATTGTGGGTAGCCTGCACAAAGAGCCGTGTTATTGTATTTAAAAGAACCATCTGTAGCAGAAACAATGGCATCAAATTATCTTTGAATACCCACTGAAAAAACATAAAGCTTTTTTTTTATTCTTCTTCTGTATGGGGGGGGGAGGACAGAGCAGTGTTAGGATAACTGACTTTTTTGTTGTTCTCTGGGTGCATTCTTCTCGCTCCCCCTCTCTCCCCCTCACCCTCTCTTCTCTCTCTCTCTCTCCCTCTCTCTCTCTCTCCCCCTCTCCCTCTCTCTTTTAAAAAATCAGCCATTTGGGGTTTTAAGCCATAAACGATTTTTCTTGTTGCAGGGGATTGCAGTGGCAAAGCTAGGCTAGGTCTTGGAGGCTGGTGTAAGGCGATGTGTGTGGAGGCAGGAGGCTGATGGAGAGACTGGGGGGAAGAAAAGCCGAAATGGATTCACAGTGCCTTGGATGGAGGATGAGAGGGGAACGGCAAGCTCCTTCAACTCATTCTGTCCGGTGAGAAGTGATCAAGCTTGGGCTGACAAGAGGCTCAGGGAGCCCTCACGTTCTTTGCTTTTTTACCTGCCAATCAAACTGCTACAAGACAACACCCTGATCTGGCATGGACATGTAAGTAGCTTGCAACCCAACTTCGAATTCACTGGTAGCTCACTCCTCCCCCCCCCCAACTCTCTCTCTCACTCTCTCTCTCTCACTCTCTCTCCCCCCCCTCTCTCTCCCTTTCACTTTATTCTCTCATTCCGTTTTTTTCTTTTGACCTTTAAGAGATCTAGAAAAACACTCTGTGTGGAAGTCATTTAACATAGGCAAATTTAAGTCTGAAAGCATTAACTTTTGGAATTAAGCGCTGATTTTGATTTCTTTAGCAAATGCAGAAATGAAATGACATTTTATTCTCTTCTAAACAGTTTTAGTGCTGAACACAACCAGTTGCCTTGCAAGGCTGTGTTTCCTTTTCTATGAAAGTGAAGAAATAGATATGTGAGCCCCCAGAGAGAAAACCAAAAGTGAGAAATGCAGGATCCCAGCATTTTAAATGCTAAACTCTAGCATTTCACCCCTACAAAGAGCCTTCTCCAGGCGAACGTTCCTTAGCACGGAAAGGGTGTTTTGATTCGACGGGTGCAAAGGGGTCGTTACTGATTGAGCCGGAGTCTGAACTGTTTTGGTGGCGGTTGGCGTGGATGGAGCTTGCAAAAACTGACGAAAGGGACATGGCGATACCTTGTTCTTTATGAGAGACTGACAGAGAGGGAGGCAGAGACGCAAGGGGGCAGGATAAGCAGGAAATACTACCTGAGAGAAGGAATTACAGAGCATGGCGAAGCTGGAAGCTGGGAGGGCTCCTGTGGGAAGTTTGGCGTGGGGTGATAGGGCTTGCTCTCTGGCGCCCTCTAATGGCAACTGGAACCAATGGTTTACTTTCGTATCAGCACTGCAAAAAGCAGCAGGGTTTTTGTTGTTGTTGTTGTTGGATTTTTGGTTTTTGGGTTTTTTTCCCCCTTTCCTCTGCAGACTTAGAAATTGGAGACTATTAGTAGAGTAAATTGATGGCTTTCAGCCCAGAAACTTCTGTGCATGCCTTAAAATCATCAATGTTGTCTCCCGGATCATCCCCTCCTCTCCCGAAATCTTATTAGACTAATGGGGGGGAGGGGGAGGCGGGTAATGACAAATTAGTTATGGAGGGTGGCCCACGCCCAATTAGTAATTCGGGGAAAGGGATTCGTTTCCTACCTGCGCAGCATTCTGACGCCTCGAGTGTACAGGAGAGAGGTGCAGGGTGGAGTGGGAAAGGGATGATTTGGAAATTGCAGATTCTGACACGGGCTCATTAGAATACAATTTAAAGGGGACTCAGGAACCTCTGTTACTGCGACATGTGGTGGTCAGGGGGCTTTCCCTCACGCCTCCGTTTTCTTTTTTTCTTTTTCTTCTTTCTTTCCTTTTTCCTTTTTTTTTTTTTCCTTTCTTTAAAATTTGGTAGATAAAGGTTAATCTTGGGCTGAATGATAGAGCTATGATTGACAAGAGAAAAGGTGTTGAGGGCAGGTCGCGCTGTCTTATTTACAGCCCACTGCTTGCTGTAGAGTCTTTGTTAGGACTGGAAAGCTAATTTAGTGCTGATCAAAAGCACCACAGAGTTAAAGGACTGGTAATGACTGCTAATTTCATTTCAGCCTCATGCACCCTAACTGCTGTAATTAAAGACACGCTATTTAAATACAGGTGAAGGGTGGTGGGCTTTTTTTTAAGTTGGGGTGGGGGTGGGTGGATTACCATTTTATTTAGATTTCGTCTCATACTTGGGTGTTTTGTAGTCCAACATCAGATTTTTTGCATTATTTAGAGCTGCTGCTTGTCATTTATACCTGGCTTGGCAGAATCAGCTGTGTGAAATGTGTCAGTCACGTAAAAGCCCATGTTTAAAGAAAGGGGGTGGGGAAGGATGCGGAGGAGTAACTGTGAGGGGGGGTTAAATATTTGGGTCTCTCATCCTCCTCCCGTCCCCCGTCAAAATTAATAGAAGGACCTTCGATATGGCCGAAAGTATTTGAAACTTGGGGCAGGGGTGAACAGGCCACAGGGATCAGTGTCCGCTTTTTAAGTACTTCTAAAAAGATCATGTGAACAGACGGGAAAGTATATTTTTAATTAAATAATTTCCCCACACACACACCCCACAGCCACAGCGTTGGCTCAGAAACCTTGTAATTTCTCAGCCGATAGGAGTTTCTTTATGAGAACATCAAAGGATAAAAAGCTCTACATTTTCGTAGTTGGTTAAAATTGATAACCTACCCCCCCCCGCACGCACACGCACACGCACACTCGCACACACACACACACACCCAAAAAAAGAATTTAGCCTTTAATCTCTTTTTATCCACGAAGACTAAAGCTCTGTACTCGACCCCGCGAGCGGCTCGCGCCTTCCGGGGCTGGAACCCGGCTCAGATGTGAAGCGGCGCTGAGCCGCCGCGCAGGTTCGTGCCCAGCGCCCCCTGTTGGACACAGTAGGAGATGCCCAGCGCCAGTCCTGGAAATCGCTAGAACCGTGCTCTGGGGTTAAAGAAAACTCTTTATAACCCTCCAAAAAAGGGAAACGGGGTGCGGAAACAAGTTTTTATGTCCTTAAAAGATAATATAATTTTCATTCAATAAAAAAACTGAAGAGGAGATAATACAATTTTAATTCAGTTTTTAAAAATGAGTCCAGTCTATGCCCCACTCACATCCCAGCTGTCCCCTGCTCCGGTTTGATTTGGGGATTCCTTGTAAAGGGTCTGCGATGATGAGACAGGTAGAGAAACAGGATAGAAAACAAAGGAATTTCTTCCGTGGCCGTGACTTCTCCCCTTCAGGCCACGTTTCAAAAAACGCAAGGGAAGACGCCGCCCTTTGCTGCTTGGAACGCCCTCGGAGGTGCTCAGACTCTGTAAGGGAATCTCCGAGTAAACGGGCCAACCTGCTCTCTGTCACTTCTTCCTGCCCAGCGTGCAATTACAAGTCAGTCTCTTCTGTTACCCATCCCCCAAACCAATCTTGACCAAAAACTTTTCCTTTCCCGGCCGGCAGTCCAATTCCAGATACTGTGCAAGAAACAGGTGCCGGGCACCTTCTTCTTGAACCCCAGCCGTCGGATTTCGGGGAAGGCGTGCAGGAAGACGGAGTGTTTTCTTTGAAATGCAGCCACTCGTCCACCGGCAATCCAGACTGTGCCGGGGAAAGAGAAGTGTTTTCACACTTCCAAAAACTAGCCCTATCCAGAGAAGAAAGAGCTTTTGACTTTTTCCTTTGGTCAGCAAGAGTAGCCTTTGGATTATTTGGAAACGATCCACTATAAAAAGGACCCGTCTTCAGAATTTAAAACAGTGTGGGGGAAATGTGGGTTGGAAAATTCACTGGATGGTCTAGGTGTTGTTAAAATGAACAAGAGGGTGTCTTAGGAGGGCCACCCTCGGGGACGTACTTACATTTTTTTAACCTTAAGAAGTTGAGGGTTGATGGTTGCTTTTTGGGTTTTCTCACTGAAGGGAAAGCTGCTTAATTTTTCATAGCCATGGTCTTTTTTTTTTTCCCCCGCTAGTTACTGCTGTAGCTGTGCACGCTCTCTGTGACTCGTAGGTTTCTGCCTCCCACCTCCTTGCATTAGCGGACCCGACGTTGTGTCTTAGGGGGAAATGCGGTTCAGTGCGATGGGATGCCTCCTCCATCTGACTGGGGACTCGGGTCTCGGTTTAAGGTTCTCACTCAGCAGGTCCAGATGCAGGGGTGCGAAAAGAATCGAGGCTCCTTCATACATCCCAGCCCGCAGTTCCAGCGAAATGACTGGCAAGCCGTATTCCCGGCCACTGCACCCCCCACCCTTTGCTCTGCCAAAAGGCTCGTCCCGTTACGGAAATGCTAAGTCCCAACGGGCTGGAGAACCGAGCGGCACCGGTAAGGGTGCGGCCGCGCTGACAGCCAAGGTCCCAAGGCTGCGCAGGGGCTCCCGCGCCGCCCGCTGCGGGGGAGGGCGCAGCCCGCAAAGCGCTGCACGCGGCCCGCGCGAGGGGGCCCAGGCTAGTGGTTCGGCGGTGATGTGGCTCTCGCCACCGCGTGGTCTGGTGCCGACCGCACACCACACCCTCACCCCCGCCAAGCCAGGGGTCCCAGCCTGCGCGCACCTGGCTGTGGGCGCGCCGGGTAGCGAGGCCCAGTCTTGCCCAGGGCCCAGGAAAAAAGCACAGCCCGCAGATGAGGGCAGAGAACGGAACAAGCGGGTGGCCCAGGCGTGCTGGGGCCGTGGTCGCCCCCGCGGTCTCGCGCGGCCCGCAGACAGGCAAGCCCCTGCGCCCTTTGCGGGGCTGGCTAGGGCGCCGGCGAGGGCCTGGCTCCTTCGCAGCAGGCAAAGCCGCAGCGGCTGGCAGCGCGCCGCGTGTCTCTGCCGCGGCAAAGCGCTCTGCAGGGGCGGGGCGGGCGTTTCTGGCCCCTGGCCCCGGCGTCCAGGCCTGAGCCCGCCGCGGGTTGGCCCGGCGCCCTGTTGTGCAAGTACCCAGCGTCGCCCGGCTGTGTGGGCGATCCAGGAGGATGGGCCCGCGCAGCTTAGGCCCACGGGGTGCGTGCCCAACTCTCGGCCTCGTCTGCCCTGCATCCCTAACCCCTTTGCTGGTGAACCTGAAAAGCACCTGCGTCCTGGAACCCAAGGTTTGGAGCATGGTAGCTTTAGAAGGCTTTATAAAGTTCATGCAAAATGCGTAATACGGAAAAAAAAAATTGGCATGGGTTCCCCCCCTCCAAAAAATTTTACACCAAAATAAACATCTTTTAATGATACCTCTCCACGAATTTTTTTTTTAATACTCTGGTATCTGCGGCTGGAGAAAGTGACCGTGAAGCGAGGATGAGCCCTCACTGGTTAAGTTCGTTCTTTTACTTTGTAAACTCTGGAGATCTTACTAGTTTCGCGGCTCTGACCCTGAGACAGACAAAGGCACCAGAAAGAAAGCGCTGTCGGCCTTGAATTCGGGAACGGAGAGGGAAGCAGACCCGCAACGCTCCCGCACCCAGCAGGGCAGATGCGCGCTGCCAACACTGTGCGTAGCCCCGCGGCTACGGGGGGTTGC